GGCTTGCGGGTTCGACTCGGGGATACTGCTACGAATCATTCAGGCACCTTGGTTTCGGGGTTAGGGGGACGGGATTTTACGGCTTGCTTCTGTTCGGTTTTGATTTCAGTGGGCTTGGTGAGCGTGCAGTCTAGAACTTCCCATCCGGTTTGCGGATGTATCGCCCTCCGTAATGGAGTTGCGCTTCATAAGCTCTCATCAGGATTCTGAAATCATTCCAGAACCCCTTCTCCAAAGCCTAGTCTGTAGACCTTGATCTGTGTAGTGGAGAGACCGACTCAAGAGCCGCCGGCTGCGCCTTTTTCAGCTTTATGGTGAACTCTCTGCTTTCTTTCCTCGGAGCTCGCCGGGCTGAAGGCTTCAGAGGGGGTTTTTTGGTTAAAGCCCAAACAGAGCGTCGCGAGCCTACAAGCACGCGCCCCTCGACTCATCTGCTACGACCCGGGGGTGCGATCCCCCAGGCCCCAAAGTTGAAACACCAAGTTGTTTGCACCTATCTCAGCTGCAGCCCTAAACTGTGGTCCGAAGCCGCTTTGTAATGGGGCCCCCCAAACCCAAGAGTCCTGCGCTAGCAACCTTGCTCAAGAAGCGAAGTGTGCAAAACCCTAAGTCCCATCTCTGAATCCCTCATGAGCCTCCTACAGAGCTGGGGCACAGAGTCTCAGACATACAGCCCCATGCTTTGTCGGGGTCATGCGATCCTTAGGGTCCACCCTCTTGGAATCCTCCGGGAACCTGGCGCAATGGGCCGCTTTGACAAGGCTGAGATGGAGATGCCCTGCACAGAGCGGGAGTTTCGGGTATAGCGGCGTTGCAGGCCGAGGATTTAGCGGTCAGGATTGAGTCATTGAGGGTGGTTCCAGGGGCCTGTAAGCCCTTCAACAACTGCAGCATGAAACCCTACAGCAATCATGGCGTTAAGCTCCCAAAACCAAAGCTCAAGGGCAACACACCCTAACTCCCGACCTGCCAACCTGAGCGGATAAACAACACAACAAATAACTAGCTGTAAATGCAGACATTGCAGAAGGTTTCAAACTTGGCCCCGCCTGAGCATTCTCGTCCTGACAGGAGGCTCATTTGGAGTCGTTTTTGACAGATGCGATTGGGCTTGATGGTTCAGGCTTGAATCTTCGGGCTCAAGGGCTGCTACGGTATCTACCTTTGAGCAGGGCCCGCACTTGCTGTTGACCCGACTGAGAATCATAAACCCAGCGGCCTATGGGTTTTGAGACTATATTAAATCGACACAGGTGGTCAAACTCGCTGCCGCCGGAAAACCCACACGCCGCCAGGGCGAAGCACCACATACGTCCGTCAAAACTTGCACTTTAGGACCTAGGAGTTCAGCTTTAGGAATTAGAGATCAGAGTGTAGTGCTCCTGACAAGCTCACATTCGTAGTGCTTATGGTTAGGAGCTCGGGATGCGGGTTTGCAGACGGTACTGGTGGAAGCTGCGCTAGCACTACCTGGCGACAACAGCAAGAACGACAGTGATTGCACACAAACAATTGTTACATGTTGTTACTGCAGCAGCCAATGCCAATGAACTATCGGCCAGTCCAAAGCAACGTTATCGAGATCCAAGCCAGGCCAATACTGATGAATGCAATCGAAACCCTGAAACCGCAACACCCATGGGCCTTGATCACTTCCTCTCGGTAGCTCCTGTCAGCGGCCCCGAAAGCTCCGGTTGGGATTCCCTGTCTTGTGTAGCAGTAGATATTTTGCCGTGTGCCCCTCGTGGATATCCGGTGCTGTCACCACAGCTGGCCTTCTGCATATAGCCTTCAGATTGGAAACTCAATACAAAGCTTAAGAGCATGCGGATACTGCAAGCGCCTTGCGACGGAAGCCTTTAGTTACACAGCATTCTTCACGATGGTGCAAGGCAGCCGGAGTCGGACCCGTGGTACATATCACTTCTTCGCAATACTCAAAACAATGCGGGAGCACGAAGCCCCAAACAACTCTGGACCAACTAACAACCAGAAAGCCGAAAACAACCTAGGCTTGAGATCGGCTGCCACACCCGAATCCGGAACAATCTAAATCCTGAGTCTGATGTGAAAGATTTCTTCGGCCTAGGATACAGCTTACAGAGAGGTCATTTCGGGTCTATATCAGGGCCCCGTCTTTCCAAACCACAAACCATGCGAGGGTCCAACTCGCTGGAATCTGCTCCGGGCGCCCCGGCGCAGCATGCACACGCTCGTTGCGACCATCTTGGCTGGAATCAGTGGCCTGGAAGCAATGCGACTGGGCTCCGACTTCTTCGTTCCATCCCCAAGGGTCTGAAGGCCCAAATTTCGAGCTATTCTAGTGCATGATAAGGTCTGAGAGTCGGTAGGGACCAGCACGATCGTCTTCCAGGGCTGTGCTAACTCTTTTCTATGATCACGAATGACTCATACAGAATGCTTTGTACTGCCATCATGAGACATGGCGTAGTCTTTGTTCTTCGGCACATGTCTATTGGGTGATGGCTCCTGCAGGTGACTGTCAACGAGTCATGACTTGGGATAGGCTGGCATGGCAGGATTGAAGCCTCAGCGATTCGATGAGTTACCCATGGCTTCATACGATGGACAGCACACGCCATGCAGTGGCAAAGGCTGCCATAAATGCATTTCTTCAATTCCTCTCCACCCCAACGAATTCCCAAAGAAAAGGTTTTATTGGGGTTTACAAGGGTCCAATACTATCTGTACACCCTCCCCAAATTGACGGTGTTCTATGGGGTTCTACAGGGGTTCACAAGGCTCCTGGCCTCCTCGCCGGAACAGCACTTGGATCCCATGGTCCTCAAAAGACCACGGGAAAGGAGGGGATGGCCAGGCCCAGAGGGTCAGTTATGATATAGGAGCCTGATTAAGAAACCCTGGGTCTTTCTTGGGGTTCCTTATATTATTAATACTGACTTCTTGAGGCTATGGGGCGAGGGTTTCTAATCATTGCTCCTGCGACAGAGAAGAACGAGCGGAAGTGGGGCCGTTTATAGGGCTTACAGGGTTTATGATGCTTCTAGATTCCAGAGTCTGTGTTCCGGGGTGGCAGGGTTGAAGACGAGTGCGTATGTGGGTACGCGCTTGAGACAGTGATCCCTGTATAAGGACATTGAGAGTTCATGTGGACGTCATTGGGTGTTGAGGACGTTGAGGGTATTCGGGCTCCCAAAGATCTTAGGATAGGGTTTGCTTTCGGCTTTAGGGGTGGGTGGAGGCCATCGAGACTTTGGGATCCCAGGCAATGGAGGGACAGCTAGCTATCTAGAGCACACTATAGGGGCCTGAATCATGCCTATCACAGAAAATGTTTCCCTGATTACTCCCTTTGATGAGGATCAGGGTCGGGATCCCAATGCTGAGGAGAAGAAGGAGATGTAAAACACAGCTCTACAGGCCAATTCCAAAGAACTGCCTGCCTGATGTAACTATGTCTTAACTATTCACCACAGGAATGGAACTTCGGGTGTGGTGAGGTGAGGTCTTGGAGATGGGCTTAGGAGCTCGATATAGCATTGGACCAGGGTTTTGCCTCGACTTTCCTAAGCTTCACTATGCGTTCAGGGTTCAGGATGACGCAGCAGCCGAAGCCATGGTTGAAGCTCCTACTAGCGCGTGCCGTTCAAACTGTCTCATATTCCCGTTGTGATTTTCAGCTTGGTTGCCTTGTCCGGTACTGTTACGCCAGAAAGGGTTCCTTGCCGGCCTGGTCAAGCCTTTGCTTGGTACAGCCCCAGAACAAGATCCTGCCCGTCAAAATAAAGCCCGACGCAACCTGTGAAACTCCGCTTATCTGGATTAATATGAAGGTGATACGCATACTCCGGTTCCTACAGTAGCAGCGGGTGATCTTCGAGCAAACGGGACTTGAGACTTCGTGGGAAAGGCCATGGCCCCTAGTCCTTTCTTTCTTCAGGCGGATCTCCACCGGCACATCGCCCCAAGATGTCTCGACTTCTACAGTTGCAACGACGGCGAATCCAGTCTCGTGCGTCCATGGTGAGAATGAAGCGACAATCGCTCCTGGTCGAAGGTTGCGAGCAAGATGATGCTCCAGCTGCTCATGCAGCGGCTGCTCAAAAGTGTAATCCTTCAGTTTTGATTACCCTGGGCCCTAAACCCTAGAGGTCTGTCCCTGGGGGTTTCCC